TAATCACTTACTCACAAAGTTGACTGTCAAGGGGTAATTTCCAAGAGAAGCATGAGTCTACCCCCAGGAAGCTGGGGCTTAGAGTGTTTTCAGCTCATAACTGAAAGAGAAGCATTTTCTTCTGCCCGAAATATCACCTGGCAGGAAAGAGGTGAGGCAGGAGTCTGCAAAAGTGACACAGCCTACATTTTTGTACCTCTACAAAAACAGTGGCACCTGAACAGTGTCTGAGATTTCTACTATTTTATAGAAACTTGCCTTTTAATGAAAAGAATGAAAAGCAGCCCACGATGTTAAAAGCCATTTGTCCATACAAACTCAAGAGTTCCTGACCCAACATGGTGCCCACAACAGCTTCATGCTTGTAAGTACGGAGAGAACTACTCTTGCAAAGGCATGTCTGGGATTAGAAAAGTTTATTCATTCTACCCAGAAGTATAAAAGCTGGCCCCATTGTAATATTAGTAAAATCAAGGTCTTCACTGAGAACTTTTATTTTAAAATCACATCTAATCTACATCTGTATAATGTCATTCGTTCTTAAGCAAATGGCAATCAGGAGACATGAGTCTGCCTTCATGTGTCTACACATGAAGTACACAGGTACAAGGCTGCCCTTCAAAGTCCATATACACAAAAAGAGGCACAGCAGAATTTTCTTGCCTTTGGCATATACAGAAGTTAGTTTATCTGGCTTTCTAATGACTAGAAGTTTATACACCTGGACTCCTCATTTGCAATATTAAAAACCATCAGTCTAATAACTAGAGTCCAAAATAATGGAAATAACAGCAGTTTGAAATGCTTGGTTTAGTACTATTTATCAGAACATTGTTAACTAATTGCTTCTTTTTGATTTTGGAATTGGGAAGGTAACACAGGGAAAAAAGGGATATTTCACAAATTAAATGCATTTTGTTTGTTTACTAAATAAAGGGCACCACTCAGTCTTTTTCTCTGCATAAGGTAATAGAACATTTACATTTCCTTTACTTCGTTTTGTAGACCTCTTACTTAAAGTCACATAACATATTTGCCTGTTAAACTATGCAAGTGGTGTTTGCAAAACAAATTTTAAAAAAAGTTCTCTTCACATTTAATGCAATTAAAAATGGCAAAAGAATAAGAGAATGAGAAAAAATTTAATTGCAATGCTTTAAAACAAATTTTCACAAGTGGAACCAGCTCTTTATATGCCTACTTTCCGCTAAACCTAACAAATAACAATTTTAAATGGCAAACTTATTTTTTACTATGCAAAATCCATCCTACGTTTTCATAACCTGCATTTTATTTTGTTACATAATAGTTTGTGGTTAATTTTCTAGTTTGATTTATTTAATAATATTAAAATCATTTAATATCTGATAACTAAATCTACATCTTACAGCATTATCATGGTTTTGCCCAGCTATATACATGCTCTCATGATCACCTTTTCTATTACCTTATGAACTACATACTAGTTAAATAATCAACATTTATAGATGGATGAATAAGTCAAGTTTTGAAATAAAGATTAGTTAGCTCTAGAAAACATGTATTTACATCCTTCCCTGTCGGGCTGAAACAATTTTATTTTTCTTTTCACTTTGACACTTCAATAAGCATTTGATAGCCCTTTGGACTTCATCTAGCAGCAGAACCTCACAGACCTTCTACTGATTTGTCCTCGGCTTTGGGAATATGCACGATCTTCATGTCATGTCCCACTTTTAGAAGGTATTAACACATACCTTATAACATTCAGAGCACTTCTTTTCTGTTTCTCAATATACAAATAATCATTCTTTCTGATCTACTAAAAGAGAAGTTCATATTTTTAGTTTGACTATTTTAATAAAATATGAGTTTGCACTGTTTTTAATTCAATTTCAAGAATATTACTTGAGAAAGAACTCTCCCCCTAACCTATGACACAAAAATTTGGAAAACCAAATGTTACTCAGTAGTCCAAGCACCCTTTATGGTGCAGGATGCTTTGTGGTTCTGGGTCTACTCTGATTTAGAGAACATCTTTTCTCATGTAAGAACCAAAGAATGGCTCTTCAAACAACCATTTAGTTATACAGTGTTTCCTTATCTGTAGATGGGATTCCCCAAGATCGGCTACAAAATTTGGTGACTTAAAAAATAGAGTCTGTGTAACTTTACTACTAATTTTCCTCAAATTTACTTAATTGGTTCTGCATGTTTGAATAGCTACAACTAGCCTCTGGGATTTGATATTCTGATGCATTTTGCAGGCTTCAAATGGCATTTTAAAATTTCACTTTGCTGGGTTGAGTAAGTTATTTTTTGGAACAAATAAAACAATTCTTTTCTTCCTTTCATACACATCAAAATATATTTTTCCAGGGGGACAAAAACAACTGAAATAAAAAATGAACTATAGAAATCATTCAAAAGGAACAATAAAGTGGTTTTTGTGAAGCATTTTGGGTCTTTTTGGATTACACTTGCATCTATCTCTAGTTGTTAGTGGTAGATTACCTGATGTATAAGGGTTTTGTGTTCTTAGAATGAAGGAAACTACATTCACTGAATACATTCTATTACCTTAACAGTAAGAAAATTATTTTTCTTTCCTTCTCAAAATAAGTGATTCTGTTTTCCATATTCCAGAAGAAACCATGACTACTGTAAATCAGAAGGAAAAAAAAAAGTTCTAGTATCCAACAAGCGTGCTGTCAGTGGTAAGTTGGTACAGATTTATTTAGAAAGGGAGGCTTATATCCAAATTCTTACAAGAAATTGTGTGAGGTCCCCTTTCTCTGGATACTCTTCTGAATGGGTGGGAGAATTTGAAACTGTTGGGCTGTAGCCCCTAAGTCATTCTGTGTCTTCAACCCAGAAAAGTTCATGGTTGAACCTCATAGAAGGGGTCTTACAAACCTCTCCCTTGCTCTGCTTCACTCTTTTAGCTTACCTTTTTTCTCATAACTTAGTAAGAAACCAGTCCTGACACCTCCAATATTCTTGGCCAAAGACCAACACCTACTGTTGACTTAATGGTCAAAGTAGAATCCAGATAGGTCAATTAACCAGTGAGGCATCCTTCCACCAATTCCTGTTTGGATAAAACTATCTTATTTGTCAGCTCTGGTAAATTGTAGGTTGTTTAATTCATGTTCCAAATGAGTTCACAGGAGATCTAACAAACAATGGATTTTATGATGACTGCTCACAAAGTAGTCCATAAAATCTTATTCCTTGAATTTATGGGGGAAATTCAAATGTTATTCTAAATAAATTGACTTCAAATCATTAAATTAGGGATAATATTGCATTTATGTTGATATTCCCCACTTACACAGCGCTTTTAGTAGACTCTAAATAAATATCAGTTGAAAAAATAAGGGAGCTGAATGGATGGATTGACTTATTTTTTCAAAACAGGAAGAAACCTAGATCTCTTTGCATTTTTTTCCCTTTCTGTAAACTCTCTGCTTTACCAACAAAGATTTTTAGTCTCATTGATTTTTTTTTTTTTGGCAGTAGACTTGAATTTGATGCCAAAATTTTAACATTTAAAAAAAATTAATTCATATGACTGTCCAAGCAGATTTTCTTAGAAAAGAGAGACTACCTGATTTTCTTGTTCCAGGAGACTCATTCCTAACATTTGTTCCCATTGCTCCTCTTAGTAGGTATTCTTTTAAAATGATACATAAAAAGATGGTTCTAGAACTAGGATGATATATTTGAAGAAAGTATTATTATACAAAGTATCAAAAGATTAGTATGTTGGATATTAAAATAATTACATGAGAATTTTTTCACGTTTATTTACAACTTCTGACCCAAGAACCTACCTATAAACTGTGAACGTTTGTGTATTTTTTATTATAGCAATTTATGTGCAAAGAGTTACCTTCTACTTAATATAAATAGAGTCTCATACTAGAAATTCCACAGAATCAAGCCAATATTTACTTACATTCCTTCACGTGGAGTATACAAACTGGATAGCTTTCCTTGCGTAGCAAATGTGATATCATTTGTAGATAATGTGCTGGCCCTCTCACCATAATCTCTGGATACTGTTCCAAAGTCCTAATTTGCTTGGTTTGGCATTTCCACAGTCTTTCCTTATCTTAGCTCTTTTTAAAAAAATGTACTTAAATTAGTTATTTTGCTGGTTACTTCCATATTGCTTCATTCAAAATCCAAAATGGAGTTCAGAAAGAGAACAAATAAAATTATAGCTTAAGTGCAAACTACGTTTCTGAGTATCTGCCAGGTAGACATACCCAATCCAGTGTCTCTTCCAGTTCAATGGATTCCCCATTGGACCACCCCTGAAAGTGTCAGTAGTTTTCATGAACCACACAGAACTGTCTCTTAGTTTCCCTTTTACTCTTTACATTATCAACTGCCTACGTCACTGTCATTTATGGAGAAGAAAATGTTGAAGAATGTAAAGGAAGTGGGGATACATATTCAATAGTGTAAAACATGACAGTTAGATTTGATGTTACACTTGACTAGTGTCTTGGCCTCCCCTTCTAAATTCGAAGGCTATATATTTAAAATAACGGTCACTGCACCATATTAAAATATTTTTTTACAGTTCTGTCAATTTATAACAACACATAAGAAACTTTGATGTAAAAATATTTCCAATCAGAAATTAAAGTAAAAATATATGGGGGTAAAAGTAATATAAAGGGACAGACCAAAGCAAAACAAAATGAAACAAAAAGACCAAAAATATCCCTCCAAACATAACTACTTGTTATAACTTTGAGAAAGATTAAGAAATTATGAAAGCGGAGTTGTCCGTTCTTGCTTATCAGGATAGAAACTGTTGGGAAAAGAACCTGGATTTTCAATCTCAGTTACTTTCATATCTTATAGAAAAGGTTATCCTTTTGTTCTAATGGAAAATTTATTACGATTTCCAAGGGTACTGAAAATATACAGATCAGTTCCTACAGGTAGGAACAGATAGCATGGGTCTTTCAGGCATCTGCTTTAAAAAAAAAAAAAAGAGAAAGAAAAAGAGAAAACATTGAGAACTAGCCTGATAGCAGGCAGTGTTGCCTTATATTTGCTGGTCCTTCTCTAGCTGTTTCAATCTCCTGACCAACCCATGCAGAGAAATGAAGAAACAGTGTGGTTCCTCCTATCTTTCTCTTTCAGTTCTTCCTTCTAATGTTCAAGTTAGATAAGCACATGACTATCATTGCATCTCTATATCTTCCACCGGGAAGTGTCAAAACTACTGGCCTTGGGGATAGGAGGAAGACCGTAAGAGAAAGAGAGGCGGCAGGGAAATTGGAGCGGGTGTGTCTCTATCTTAAAGCCGCTGCTGAGCTTACACCACAGTATTTCGGTGTCTGTAGGGCGGAGGAGGCAGCACAGTGCCTGGCTTCAGCGAGAACTCAGAGAGGTATTCAGGATTCTCTGCCACAATAGGCCGGATCCGTCCATTTTGTTTATAAAAATATTTTGTGCTGTACTCCTGCAGGTAGTCTGGGTGCTGAAGGGTGCTGCGAGGTGGCAGGCTGTGGTTCCAGTAGTCAGGGTTGTCGAATGCTTTCTTGGCCTTCTCTGGCACAGACAGTACATTGTTCTTCAGGTACTCGGCATTCCCCAATGCGTTGGCAAAGGTGTTGAGGTACAGTGGCTCATTCACATACTCATCCTCTGCCTTGGGTGGACCATTGGAAGCGTTGTGATATTCGGGATTATCCAAAGCTTGAAGGTCTCCGTTTTTCCTCCGAGAAACAAAAGGGTTCTCCTCCACAGGGTTCAGGTATTCTGGGGGAATACACAAATATTAGTCAATATCTACTTTCTGGAATGTGTTAATCAGACCAAGGTTGTACAGGATGGTTAGCTTCTTTTTCCAGAACAATTAAGCCATGGATTTGTTTTCATGAGTTTTCACAAAAACCATTTTGTTGACTACTTCATTGATTAATTTTGTCATATGACAAAAGAGTAGGAAAGAGTAGGTGGGCCAAAACTGTTAATGACTAAAGAGTCAGGAAGCAGACTTTCTGTCTTCTAGATTGTTCCTCTTTCCTCCTAATTGCATTTGTTTCTCCTACCTAAGAGGCTACTTGTTTAAATGCTTCCGTTTTCTAGAAGTCAGTATTTTTTGTTGTTGTTGAAAAATAGGACAATTTAACCAGGTTAAAGAGCTTTGAAATGTGGAGAAATTAGAATTTCTAAAAGGGTACTGGAAAATCAAAATGTCTATAGCTTAACTCCATGCCAAGATGAATGGATGAAGTAAAGGAACGGCATTTTTCAGTCTGTGTGTTTTGCTATAATGTCCATATAGGTAAAATGGATTTGATTACAGATGTTCCCCAGAAAGCTTTACACACAGGAAAGGAAATATCTAAAGAAAAGACTCAACTAATAAAACCTGATTGATATCTAACATGCTGCTAAATTGACTTGCGTGACAATACATACGCCTAAGAATAAAGTGTAATTAGAACATTCACTTCCACTAGCTAACCATAATCACAAACTAACAAGCTGTTAGTTTGATCATATGAAGTAACTTTTGTAGGTTGAAACCATTCATAGTAGTGGCTGTTTTGCATTATTCGATCTAATAAATTACTAAAGAATATTGACCTGGAATTTTTTAAAAAGGTGTTAATCAATGCTGCTATTCTTAAATTTAATTCCACCTCTATGTATAGAGTATATATAGGCCTATATTCCCACATACAGTAGACCTTCTTGCCCTCTCTTTTAATGTAGACACAGATATGACACTTTAGCTATTCCTATTTTGGTGTTGGGGCAGGGAAAGAGCACAACTGTTCGTTGAGATGCCACCATTCTGAAACAAACTTTCTTTTCTATCCCCTATACTTAGCCTAACAAGTAGAGAAAAATAATCTCATCAAGTCAGGGTGATTTGCCCCTGGATATAGGCCTGCTTGATATACTTAAGTATTTAGCATAATGGGCAAGTTAAAAGATAGTAATGACTATCCCACCATCATATATTGGAATGACAGGAACTTAAGTCATGCTCACAACAACCCTGTAGGGAAGGAAGTGGAAGCCATATTTTTTTCAGCTTTATAAACAGAAAACCTAGATTAAATGATGTATGAGGGATACAACTAGTATGGAACTAGAATTCAGATCGAAAATCCCCTGAGCAGCCTTCTTGTTCTACTGTACTATTTTCATTATTGTCCCTAAAGGAGTAGGGAGTACTTTTCACATCATAACATGTTGGAATTTGAATGGTTTTCAAAGCAATGGTCATTTTAAGAAAAATGTGTGGAAAAACACCCCAAAAACAACAACTTCTAAGGGAAGCAGAATTTGATTTTCCTTACCAGTTTCCTGAAACCTCTTAACTGAAAGTATAAGAATGTCTGTACTAACATTCTCTGCTCTCTGAGAAGTAGTCTGGAGTACAATAATCTTCTATAGAAGCTTATACTCAGGGACAAAATCAAGGGATGCCCTAGAGTGAGTCTTTAGATTCACTTAGAAGTCTTGTGTTTTCTCCTAGACGGTTCATATTACCTTTGCTCAATCCAATCTACTTATCTATCTACTTAGAGAAACAACTCTATGGTTAAACTCTTCCCAGAGAGTATTGTACTTTTAGGAGAATCTGCCAAACCTTCTCAAAACTTATATTTGTGTCAGTACTGGGCTGCAATCCAACTCTTCCAAAGCATCTAATTCTTCAGTATCGTAATACCTATCTATGCCTCTACATAGATATTCTTTAATAAGTTACTTGCAATGTGTACTTAGGGATCCCTTAATTGCATTTTATAAAATTAAACATAACCATATATTCAAAAGCATAATGGGCCCTCATATGGAGTCTTAAAATAAAGTTTACTTGACTTTGAAGACCCTGAGACACAATCATCAGTTTTTAATAACAATTATCCATCTTCTCCTTCATGTGATGCTGTTACCATGGAAGGAAAGTGGATTTTTCAAAGTTGAAAAAGTCATTTGATTTGTATGTCTAATATTTCTGCTAGTAAATTTGTACAGTCATCGCTGAGCTTTGTAGAACCACAAACTGAATTATTTTCAAGACATGATGGTATACCTATAAGTAAACTTAGTGTCAGAACTTTAATTTTTGAAATGTATCATATAAGGAATCATAATCTCCTATAATGACCAACATCACCCAAATGATGCAAGATTTTAAAGAACTGACCAAATCTTTTATTGGTACCATCAAAATACCAGTCTTGGGGCACCTGGGTGGCTCAGTGGGTTAAAGCCTTTGCCTTCGGCTCAGGTCATGATCCCAGGGTCCTGGGATTGAGACCCGCATCGGGCTCTCTGCTCAGCAGGGAGCCTGCTTCCTCCTCTCTCTCTCTGCCTGCCTCTCTGCCTACTTGTGATCTCTGTCTGTCAAATAAACAAATAAACCAAAATTAAAAAAAAAAAATACCAGTCTTTATGAACTCAACAGTAAGTTCAAGAAAAGCCATGGCTCTAAAATCTTGCGATGTGCTACCTCACTCAAATATTCAATAGAGATATTCCTATGAAGGTAAGTTTAGATCAGTGCTTCTCAGGCTTGATTGCGCACAAGAGTTACATAGCGATCTTGTTAAAAATCATATTCCTAATCAGGTGGTGCCTGGGATTCAGATGGTGTAAATGTTGCGGATTTGGACAGTATGCTACAAAGAGCAACAGCCCAGGTCTTTTCTGGGTCACAAATGTTACGACATCCAGTGGTTTGGCGATTTCCCTTCTATATTATATTCTCATTTTGATGGAAGTGAAATGCAGAATGACAATCATTTCTGCACATTTTGTTTGTACCTTGTTTAGGTTTATCTCGCATAGGGGTCATGTAACCCTCTTCATCCAGCTCTCCTCGTGGGCTCCGTTCTGGGGCAAACACTGTGGGGTCAGCGCTGTACCTCTGGGTGCTGCTATCCTCCTGGGCGTGGGGTGCCGCTGGCTTGCGTAGGGTGCCGTTACAACAGGAGTCATCAAAAATCTCGGCTGTAGCCCCCTGAGCAAGTGGTGCTTCTGGGATCGTGCTGGTTGTGGCTCTGTAGGGCACAGGCACTCCTTGCTCAGCAGCAAACCCCCCATCTCGGTATACAAACTGGTTCTGTAAATAGAGAAACACATTTAGACAGAAGTTATTAGAAATAGCTGTAGAAAAGAAATAGCCAAAAGGATAGTAAAACTTGTCTTTCAGACAAAAGCCACAGTTTCTTAATTGAGTGTTTCCCCTGAATAGCTAACAAGTTTGAGTTACAACCACCTAAAATTCCAATTTTTCTTTAAAAGTGAACCTGGGGAAAGAATTTGGAAATACATATTTAAATGTCACTGACCACCCAGCACATGATCTCATATAAACTATTTCATGTTATTTTCCGCACTCGCCTATTTTTGATATATAATTCAAATTTCATGACAAATGAAAACATTATTAACTGTAGACAGTTGACATTAAGAACAGAGATTTGGATGGTGATATTTTCTTCCTGCCTTCTCTTCTGCGGTTGCTCTGAGTTTGAGTCCCCAAGTACCTAACTAGGGGAATCATTACAGAGACTCTGACTTTTTAGCACACAACCTATAATCATGGAGATAATAATAACCTCCTCAACGAGAAGCATAATTTCTGAGTCCAGGTAAGCCCTTCAGGTAAAAATTGAAAGCTACTGTTGATGCATGGTATCTCAGTTTTGGATTATCTACTGAGATAAAACATATCCACAAAGCCAGCTATACAATCTATAGCAAATTCTTAACTCACTGTTGGCAAAAGCAAAATGAGGAAACTATGGGGAGACAAGAGAGAAGAAACATGATAAGCAAAGACCAAAAATACTAAAAGATGAAGGTTGATCATGAAATACTTACTCCTGACATGGGGGTGTAGGCAGGAGGAGGGCTGTGTCCAATTTCACTCTAATAGGAAAGAAAAATGGAATGATGGATATAATAAGAGGTAATATGAATGAAAAGAAAAAAAAAAAGAAAAGAAAAAAGAGAAGAAAAGCCACATGAATTGTATGAACCAAATGGGAAAACATGCACAACAGTGAAGTTTGCTAAATGGTAAAATTTTATGCTCTCTGGCTACAAATGAGTTAATTTTTATGTTTTGAAAATATTAAATATTTTAATTCAATCCCTGAAAAGAAAAATTATATAGAAATAAAGTAAAATTTTAAATAGATTAAAAATTAAATTGGTAATGAATATTTTTCTGATTAACCCTAGAAGAAAGACAAAAATGGTAAATAATTAACTACAGTTTTAAATAAAGAAACATTTCCTTCCTTACTTGTTGTATGGCTAAAATGGCCATATACCACAGCACTGATGCTCTCTTATAAAAAGAAACTTATCCACAAGGAGATGGAAGTGGATTTCAATTTTCCTTGAATAATTTTTATTACCAAGTTACATTTATTTTCACTATTGCAGCAAAGGGTCAATTTCTTAGCCTTTCCTTTAAAAAAAAATAAATACTATTTTCTCCTCAGTCTGATTTTTTGTAAGTTAAGAAACAGAAGAAAATCTTGGAAAATTAATTATGTTCCTGGAACTATGCTTTGCATACATTATTTTCATGTATTTAGAATCAGCTAAAATTAGATTTCAGTTTAAAAAAAAGGGCATCTGTATTCTTATAACTTAATACTCCATCCTATGGGCTAAATAAAAGTGGATATAAAAATATGATAAAATATTAAGGATAATATTCCTTAGGGTAAATAGAGGGGGTTATATGAATATCAACACCATTTCTTAATAATATACATATTTTACATACATTTCTTGAGAACCTACTATCTATGTGCCAGGCACTTTTCTGGACAACGGAGATAATGAATAATGCAGATAAAAATCGTTGCTTTTATGAAGTTTGCATTCTCTGCATACATGTATGAAACTTGGCTAAGTATTATTCCAGGCCAGTGTTTTTACAATTTAGATATTCATAAAACAAACTCTAAGAAAAATATGGTTCCATGGAGATTAACTGTTTAATGTAAATTAATAGCAACCAGATAACACAATATCTCATAATTAACATAGTCCCCTGGACTAATCAAGGACCAAGGTCTGAAATCTTACATTAAGTTTACTTTTAACTCTCTTCAAAACTTCAGTCATTTACATGATGGGATAGAAACTAATGATCTCTTTCCTTCTCTAATAACTAAGAACGTCTTGAAGATATATTTAGAGACATATTTAATATGCTAAGCATAGGAGGTAGTATTGTCCAGTAGACACATTGTTTTATGATTTGTCAGATCTCTAGCCCCAGTCCCAGTTACAAGTGATGTGGTCAGTCGTGAAACACCTCAGATCTCATTTTTATCCTTGGCCCCTCACTCCTTGTATCTTAATGAAGACAAAGTAAGAAGGTGTATATAAATGAACTTGGTAAGCTGTGTACTACTATAAAAATGTAGAGGATAGATAAAAATTTAAGCATTCACATCTACTAAATCAGATTTTTAAAGTCAAGCAATCAAAATGCCAAAGCTACTTATCAAGAGGCATTTAAAAAATGCTTCCTCGGGCACCTGGGTGGCCCAGTCTGTTACACAACTGCCTTCACTCAGGTCGTGATCTCAGGGTCCTGGGGTCGAACCCTGCCCTGGGCTCCCTGTCTGCTTCTCTCTCTCTGCCTCTCCCCTTGCTCATGCTCTCTCTCTCTCTCAAATAAATAAATAAAATCTTTTTAAAATTTTTTAAAAAATTAAAAAAAAATGCTTCCCTGTTTTCCATATCATTTTCAGTATAGGTATATTTTGTTATCTTTTAGAAAGATATAAAATTAAATACATTTTTTCATAAAATTTGAGAGGAAATTTGCCATATAATCCAGTGATATGGAAAATAGAGGGATGGTATGGGAAATATGACTAGTGCCTGGCGGAACTTTATCATATTATAAACCTTGGCCTTTACCCTATCATTAAACCCCAATTATTGAGCAAGCATTTGACAAATATTTATTAAACTTCTACCGTGAAAGCACAGGAACTATGGTAGATGCTGGAGATACCATGAGACACAAGGAGAGACAGAGACAGAACCACTGGCCTTTTGCAATTTATACTGAACAATCAAATATTACTTGAGATTATCAGAAGAAAGGCAAGAGTAAGACGAAGCTGCAGTGAATTTATTTGAATTCTATGATTGCATATTAGAAGACAGTTATTCCAAAATATGAGTAATTACTGCTGTTCCTTTCCCCTCTTACATTACAACAGTTGCCGTACTGGGTCGCGTTGGACTAGAATCACAGCTCAGGAAACGGCACTGACGGCTATGGCTATCCAGTTTGGATTTTATAAAACTTGAGGGATAAGTGATGAAAGGAAAAACCCGTGAATCATTCTTTATCAGGAAATACCTTATTATATATATTCATGGTCTGGGCTAGACTGCCCTCGATTGTAAAAAGGTTGTGTTAAAAATAACTGGACCTCTTGGGGCACCTGGGTGGCTCAGATGTTTGGGCATCTGCCTTCGGCTCAGGTCATGATCCCTGGGTCCTGGGATCGAGTCCTACATTGGGCTCCCTGCTCAGTGGGGAGGCTGCTTCTCCCTCTGCCTCTCTCTCTCTGACTCTCATGAATGAATAAACAAAATCTTAAAAAAAAAAAAAACAAATAACTGGACCTCTTGAAAAGAGGCCATGCCATATTAGAATGCAGGCACTGTCCCTGCTTTGACAAGTCTTTCCATCAGCCAAATCTGGATCTGGATACGCTGCCAGATACCATCACAGTAACAGGAGTGTCTTCATGCTCTTTCTAGTTTTCTGCATTAAAATGGAAAAAAAAAATGCTAAGCAAAATCCCTTTAGCATTCATTGTTTTTAGGGTTACTGGCTGCTTTTTATTTTTCTGTTTCCATTTTTTTTATTTGTTTTTTTTTTTTTTTTTTTTTTTTTTTTTTTTTT